AGAGCCAAGTGCATGAAATTGATCATGAAAGTAAAAATATCGATTCAATTTTAAACTTAAATCGTTTCTGAATTAAACTATTTTCTGTTATATCACCAACGTTTTTAATAATAAAAAAACTAACCTATTTAATCAACGGAGGTTCTACATTAAGAAATGAACAAATATTGTTTCCAGTTTTGTTGTCTATACATTTCATTTTATACTTTTAGTACATAGACTAACAACAATATTAGGTTTATACTTTTGTTACTAAGCCACGAGACATAATAGCCATTGTTGGAACGTAGTGTTACCAAAACGCACTAACTTTTCTATATATTAGACGTTGTTAATCTAACTGATTGTTACCTATAATTATTCTACGAATACGCCAGGAATTCATTCCGTAAATGGTCTTAATTTTGATTGGCTCACAAAGGAATTTACCGACGTTTGACTGCCTCGACTGCACTTTTCTGCCTCTTTGTTTGTCAAGCTTGATTTCGCAAAATTTATTTATTTTCATTTCAGTTAGCTATGAAATGTGAGGTTAGGGTATACTATGGGTGGGGGTGATAGTACTTTCCCCCGTCATTTTAATGTGCTATAAGCTAGTTGTACAATAAAATCATGTATGTGTATAATACGTACAGGAAAAAATAATATTTATATATATATATGTAATCCGAACAACAACAAATATATATACTCAAACACGTTCCTCTCTTTATGCATTTATTCCATTCATACTCCTATCTTCGAAATATTTCTTTCAATTATTCGATGTAGGAAGTCCCCTTTTTTCGTGAAATTCCTTCACAAAAAGAAACATTCCTGTTCTCAATAAGTTCTTTCTCAAATTGACCGTTCAGCAAATACGAAGACTGACGGATCGATGTTGATATCGATAAGAAATTTTATGAATTGTAAAAAATGAACAATTTTCCTGTAATATACTCTTGCAAAGAAGCCTTGAATACTTTCTTTTCTACGACTAATCGTTCAGAAGATACAGAGTATGACAGACAAACATTTAGCTTTATTGACAAATGGTATGTAGTTAGTTATTTATGAAATTTTGAAAGGGTTATGTAGTTTGCTATGAACAAATGGATTTAGGTTTGAATTTCACAACTAGACATCTTTATTTTGTTTTACACTTATATATATTCATATCTGATTTATATTCTACAGCTCTTCGTTCTTTTCCCTATAAAGAAGGGACAAAGTTCTAATTTATAAGTGAACTCACAGATGGAGCCACTTAGACGTATAACACAGTTCACCAAACTTGTGAAATCAATTACAGACCATATTAACATTATTTACGATTCAATCCATAACTATAACTCTGATTATATTTTTATTGAATTTTAACAAATACAATTTTTGTTTCACTTTGTGTCAACATACTTAGTTGCATAACTACGAAACGTTAAGCTAGTCCATAAATTACATAGTCATGGAACTTCTAAACTAACCATTTACCAGTAAAAATATATTGCATTTAGAGATAGTACAACACTAGATTACTTCAGCTTATCAATGAGCACCAACTGTTATATATATACGCTCCCCAGTGGCACAGCGGTATGTTTGCGGACTTACAACGCTAGAATCCGGGTTTCGATACCCGTGGTGGGCAGAGCGCAGATAGCCCTTGTGTAGCTTTGTACATAATTAAAAACAAACAAACAATATATATATATATATTTCTAGCCGCTGTATCCGTTCAGCGCGTGGGGAAGATACAAGGCTTCTATAAAATCACATAGAGATACCAGATCCGAACGACAATACCTCCTACAACACTTCCTCGATGTTTGGTAGAGATTAATATGACAGTTCGTGGAACACGTACGGGCTCCGGGAGTGACCTAGTGGCAGACAGCTAAAGCCAACTTCCTCCAGGAGTGACATGGGGAGGTCACATCCAATTTCCAAACTAAGGACACGTGTAAATTTTAGTTCAAATGGGTTGAACTATAGGCGTGGACGATACTTCTGTTTTATATAGAGAGATTGTTAATGATAGCGTATGTTTAATAATATTTGTTAATTATCACGTTAATAAAGTTATTGCTATATAGAAAGTATTTTACATAGCGAGGAATTTCTGAAAAGCTTTTCATTTAATTTTTCAAAATAAAAAATAAATAAAAATATTGATCTCCTTTAAAATAAAAGAGTTCTTTGATAATCGAATATTTTTAGGTTAAAAATATAAGATAATTGCCTGTAACAGTTGTGAAAATCACGTGAGACTAGTGGATTGGTAATGAGAGATAGGTTATCTTCTGGTGTACCGACGTTTTTGTTATGATAATTGTCGGAAAATGTGGTTTGTAGCGTCTAGATGCTCTCCTAATGAATATATTTTCTTTTTGTTAGTGATATTGTAACACGCATTTTATATAAAGAAACAGATTTGTGTAAAATAGACCAAAATCAGAGTAAAGTTTTCTATTCCTGTGAAATATTGAATTAACTTACACCAGAAGAGTCAAAAATCTAAAATAACAATTACAATTAATATTAAATAATCTTAATTTTGAGTAATAGGCAAACTGGAAGAAAACAACTTCTAAGAAATAAAGAATATTTGCTACACGTGATTTAGGTATTGTTCCCAAGAATAATTTACAGGGGCATTGTAAATTGGTCTAATTTTCAATAGTCTTAATAGGGTAACGAACGATTTATTTTATATACTTGATTAATAACCAGTTCGCTGTCATTCGAGGATAAACGTTTTGTAGATAATTAGATGTTTCCTTTTATCCAGTTTGGTTAATATATGATTATTATAGCCCAAATTGGCTTATCAGTTCCTTTCATGATGAATCGTCTTACGTTTAGACTACTATATTAAGATATCACAAAGAAACCTGAATGTGTTGCTTAATTAACTCTACTGCATTATATAGATTTTTTTCTTTGATTAGTCTTAGTTGGTCTGATCATATTTTTCAATTGTCGAAATTGTAGTTGTCAGTCGATCATGGTGTAAATTTTGAGTGAGCTAGTATTGCTTTACACTGTAAAACACAATAATTACAACATTACGTTATTTATTTATTTTCCTGCTTTACCAGCATGTTTTCACTTTGATCTTCCGAATCATTATTCTCACGATTGTCGTGAATTATCCTAAACGAAGACATTTTAAATTAGAAGTAAATTTTTGTTGACTAAACAAAATAATTGATTACTGATGCATCAGGTTTACATACAAGGAAAGCTCAAACGCTTCAAAATTAGTCGTAGAATGTTTTGTTTATTGTGAAACACAATCAATAAATCATGTATAATAATAATACTATATACAGAAAGTTTGAACTAAAACCCGCAATCTATAAACTTTTCACGTCCCTTATTCCTCTCACACAGGTTTATACCCATTTTGATTTATACAACCAATATATTTTTTAATAAATTAGCAAAGATTAACATGCAGAAAAAAAAAAGAGACAGAAACACGTGATTTGTTTAACGCTGATAAGATATAAACTGTTTTTTACAATACGTTCACCACCCGCTATTTCTGCTTATAAAGTAAATGGCTAAGTGTAATAAGATAATATTGAATTAAAATCCAATCTGTGAAAGAATGTCTTTAAAGCTTCCTTGGCCACCGTGCATGGATCCCATGATATCGTGAAGTGCAGCTTCAGCTTCATCAGCATTCATTTTACGGTCCATCTTCACGTGCATCTCCTTCACGTGCATATGGCCATTATTATAAGGATCGCGGACAGTGTATACCCTTTCATGACCATAGGACTGAGCCTTACCATTACTCTGTCCGTAAACTGGAGTTTTCTGGCCGTAAACTGTGACCTGTGGTTGACCGTACGGAACAGCTCTGTGTCCGGCGTAAGCTCCAGAAGCAGGCTGACCATAGGCTCCATGTCCAGCATAAGCTCTTGCAACAGGCTGACCGTAGCCTCCTCGTCCGGCATAAGCTCCAGAAGCAGGTTGACCGTAGCCTACTCGTCCTGCATAAGCTCCAGAAGCAGGTTGACCGTAGACTCCGTATTTGGGATACGCTCCAGAAGCAGTTTGACCGTAAGCCCCGTGGGTAGCATATGCTCCGTAAAGTTGTTGTGGTTGGGGAGCATAATGTCCGTAGAAATGAGTCTGGGGTACAGCGTAGGCTATACCTACCACGAGTACGCATGCAGCAATAACAATCTATAAGAGGAAATAAATACATAAAAATTAAGCACCACAGAAAATACGTCCCAACAACCCCTCTCTCCCCTCCCCCACCACAGTTTATGAATGAATAAAAACCCTATAACCTGAGCGCTTTCGAAAGGTGGACCTTTCTTCTTCAGGGGCAAACTGAAGAAGAAAGGCCCATCTTTAGAAAGCGCTCGGGTTATAGGGTTTCTATCAAGACTTCTTGAACGAACGTGTCTTTCTAACATCATAAACAGACTTATGAATGTGACTCTCGAGTCAAATATGATGTCTATAACAAGTAAACGACAGCTTTTGGAACTTCAATTTTAACATGTTACAGAGTGAGAATTACATAGTTCTACCTAAGAGCTGAAATTAATCGATATAAACCTGGTGTTTTTAAAAGTAAATGAGTTCTCTAAGAAACTATTCTACCACAGTAGAAAGGAACTCCACCTACCGTTTTCATCTTGTTTTCTCTATTTACTCAATGTTGAAGAACGAAGTAGATCAAGAAACGAACTCGCTATAAATTCTCTAATCTGGAAACAGGTTGTTACTCCCGACTGTGTTGCCGTCTATATATATAGGTCTCCCAGGACAAAGAAAAGCTCATGTCGAGTTAATCGGTGAGGAAATTTTCGACTTCAATAACTAGTTCAAGGAAAGGTTGCACAAGAAGACTAATAAAAATTCATGAATGCTCGTGTTTCATTGTAGGAGGTGCCTCTAGACAAACCATGATGTTTCTCTGTGGTGTAAACCCTAATACACTACAAGCGTAGAGTATTTAATCAGCTTCCGGTATTTCCTAAGTGGGTGTTGGGAAATGTTCAAATCTTTCATCTGATTTGTTCATTTAAATACAGATCGTTTTCTGATTGGTCAAATGGCTTGTCACGGGTCGCCGATTTCTTGTTGTCTTAGGGCGTATTGATATTCGACCCACTTTGACTTATTCCGACTCAACCAAGGTGTTATGAAAGTACTGGAAACTTCTAGGCCAACTCTCACTTTTACTCAAGTTGTCTGTAAGAAATGTGTTTATAACATTAGATGCTTTAGGCTAAGCGTTTTAAACCCCAGGTTAACTATGTTATTAAATCGAGAATGTTCGCTTGTTTACAGTTAAGATAAAAAAAAAGTTATGGTGCTTCCGGGATGGTGCTATTTGCCCTAAAGTAGTAATTTGCTGAACTAGACTGCCTCGTATCTGGGTCATTATGATCAAAACAAATAAAAATTTATGAACATTAAAGAAATTATGTTGCATAGTTTGTTTAAATTAGCATTACGCTATAAAGAAAGACTCATGAAAATAGAATTTGTAAAGTAAAACAAAATAACCAATTTGGATGATTTAATAAATTGCCTTAATGCTTATTTTTTATTTTATTTTACAAACCAGTATATAAATCCTGCTGCGTACCCTGGGGATATAGTTAATGCTTCATACTCTAGGGTTACAGTTCCTGCTCGCTACCCTAGGGATATAAGTCCCACTGCATACACCAGGAGTCTCTGGTGGAACCTCCCCAGATGAGATCTAAAACAGTTGAAAATGAACAAAGGAAAGTTTCAATATATTTAGATTGTACGTTAATCGCTAGTTTAAATTGCATAACTCAATTTCACATCGTTTTTATAAATATTAAATGTTGATTTTTTTCTGTAATTCTTTACTTCAATAATCATGTGTTTTACTCGCATATGGTGATAAAAGTGGATTCTTCAGACCACAGTTACAATTCTTAAACTGCTAACCAATTCTTATAAAACAAATTGAGTTACACTACGTTTTACTCGAAAAAGATGTTACCTTTAAAAAGCCACCAGTGGCACAGCGGTATGCCTGCGAACTTACAACGCTAGAAACCGAGTTTCGATACCAGTGGTGGACAGAGCACAGATAGCCAATTGTGTAGCTTTGTGCTTAACTTCAACTAAAACTTAGCGAAAAAATAGGTAATATTCATAAATGTATTAATTTTTTGTGACAATTTTCTTACACATGTTTACGGATCATATATATATCATCATATATACTGACCAGTTTATTTTGTGAACTTCTTTGCTTTCCCCAAGAGAAACTCGTTAATGGATGATTAAACGAGGCTTAGTGAAACTAATTTCAAATTTGAACGAAGCCTCTTGGCTAGAATGTTACAGCTTTTTACTTTCATTAATTATTCTGCTCCAGGTTAGAAAATATGAACCACCGTGTTGTTGGTTTTAGGGCAGTGTATTCTAACGGTGATTCTGAAAAGTCAATTTCAGAATTTTGCGGTAACTATAAAAACTGACTTTGTTTTAATTTTTGAGGTTCTTTATGTACAATAATACGAAAGTTGCTTCTGAAGTAAGAAGAAACAGAATACGAAAATGTTTAAGGAATTTAATGCATTTATAGAATTCTAGATGGCTTCTTGTCCAGTATCCTAGAGTCTCCTCCCTCCCAGCAATTCTGAGGGTTTATAATGCTAAAAGTCGGGCTGAGATACCACTGTGTAGTTTTGCGCTTAACAAAAAAAAAGGAAACAGTTATACTGCATATTTAATAACGCTAGAGTACAAGAGTTCGATTCGTTTTTTTTTTGTTATCGTAAATTAACAATTCCTCGTTTTATGACTGGAGTTAAGAAGCTTACTCCATTATTTTTAAACCTTTTAGCTTTCAGTTGTTATGGTAGCATTTCAAGTACTGTTGAAGTTTAATATGTTTGTATTTACCTGATCTCTTTACTATTTTTTTAAGTTATAAAAGTTTTAGTTTTTCGTAGAAGGAATAAAAACTTTTCACCATCACGTAAGTTGTATATTTGAACATTGTTTTTTAAACTGATTGTCATTCTGTTATAATTGTAGAGTTAAATGCTTAACTCCAATAATGCAAATATTAACGTTTTAAAGAAATAACTTATATATATATGTATATATACTACAATTTTACTAAGTATCCATAATACCCTCAGTGCTTTGAAGTATACGTAATCATTGAAACACGTATGAAACACTAACTCTTAATTTACTCTCGAACCTTTATTATGTAGCTATATGTAAATTTGTGGCGCTATCGTTTCATTACAAAACTAAAACACCTAATAAGAATACAGTATAGTTGTTGTTTTAGCGCAAAGTGAGAAATCAAACCTCGGATTTTAAAGTTCTAAATTTCCCTCTAAACCACCAGGGGACTATGGTGCAATAAATCAAAAGAACATATATTATTTTAGTAACTTTTAATCCAATTTTGACAATTTTCATCCAATTCACTTCATTAAACAATAATTTACGTAAAAGATTTGTGTTCCCAGTGAGTGAGTATAACATTGATAGGAATTATACTCCTGTCGGTGGGCCTAATAGCAGTACTACAGAAGTGGAGTACTCAGTTTAGGTATACTTCAATATTAACACCTGAAAAGCAATGTTTTGGAAAATTACCGTTCTCAAATGTTTGTGTCTACATTTCAGTAATGATTTTTTTTTGTTATTAACGCACCAAGAAAATAGAAACTACCCCCTTTTTCCGAGCCCTCTGGTGGCTCAGCACATGTAGACCATTGTATGGATTTGCGATTAATAAAGAAACCTTTTTTCGAGCAGAATGCGATTACACAACTGACGAATTATTCCAATTTACTTAACATACTTTTTTTCTTGTATCCTGCAATTGGTTCATATTATAAGTAGAATTTTGAATTTAGTTATTTTTTATTTGATCTCTACAAACAACTTTACTAGACCTTAGAGAATAAATCGAAATATAACTTTATATTATTATTTCTGTGTTTATTTCTTACAATAATTTATCACTTAAGTATGCAATATATATATATATTATCTCTATTCAATTTGAAGTTGTTTATTGCTAAAAATATTCATAACTCTTCTGGGGATGATGATTTAACTTGTAAAGTAAATATAATTACTGATAAAGCGTATTAGAGGTCTATTTTACCACCTAGTGTAATGTTTAGAGCAACGCAAGCCTTGTATTCTGTTGTAGTTGAAGTTATTTGAAGTAATTACAAGGGTGGGGCTTAAACTTTGTTCTGGTTTAAAGGAAGCATAAACGGTTCAGTTAAAAAACGAATGCTTGACAGAATAAAACTGAGAATATGTGAATGATTGAAGCATAAGTTCACATAAGTATGTATATATATTACAACAATACAATTGTCATAAAACATTGCACATGATTTTCGATCTATTTCACGTATCTCGAAAGTGTTTTGACAGATTTCACTAAAATATTCGAATGTTTAATACCTGGTACCATTAAAGTTACTAGAACAATGACCCCTTACTCAGGGGAGGAGGTCAGAACAATTACCCTTATCGGTGTTTTTGAATACATACATAAAACACTATTGTTGATATAGATCGTTTTAAGTTTATGACGTGTATGTGCTTTGCTTTAATAACAGCTTTGGTTCATTTGCGATTAAACAAAGCTTTTAATACTAACGCAGAAGTGTTTTGGTTCAGAAAAAGATCGGCTAACAGTGAAATTAGTGAAAGTTATCATTTCACTCTTCATCGTTTTGAGGTTTTTTACAGATTTTAAGCTCCCAAAACTACTGGTTTTTTATATTATCCCCCCTGTTTGTTTTCAATTGGTTACAAATTCTATTCTTATTACTGACGTGATAAAACTTTTGTTAATAGCACGAACAAGTTATGTGATTCTGCAGTGTGGAAAAGCCGTCATTTAGTTTTATTTTGTGACTCTGATTTTTGTGTGCATATTACACATTTGTAAAAACGTTGATGGCAAATTGCAATACTTTTTATTTTTTGCCAACAGTTTGAGTTTATTCAGATTTAGATATTAAACAAACACTGTTTTTTTTAAAAAAAGATAAAATCTTCTAGCATATACATTAAAATATAAATGAAATCGTTTAATAATACAAGAGAAATCAATATGTTGGAAATAAATTTAATGAGAGATATAAAAACACCAAGTGCAACAGGAAAAATCGAAATTGAAAAGTCTATAAAATATATATTTAAATTAATTAACATATAAACAATTTTTCAGAAATTCTGCTTTCTAATAACACTGATATAAATGTCTGTCTATGTGATCTCTCTTTTAGTACATGAGTTATAAAATTTCATTTTCCTTAATAATGGGTGTTTGATTTTTATTTTTTTACTTTACACGTAAGTAATTGATTTGTAAAAAGTAGATAAAACTTGAATATTAACTATATGAATACTTTGGTTAAAATTATCTGATTTGGATTATCTAATGTAGCAATAGTTTCTGTAGTTCGATACCCAAAAAATTTAGTTTTATCGCATGGATAATTTTATATACAAAATTAGAGGTATCGATATATAATAAATAGCTGTTATAAATCAGATGACATCATTTGTATTTTTCTGTACTTTATTTCAGCAGTATGAGTCTAGTTTTTTAACAATAATATTGTTTGATTTCTTAACTAACCATACCGTTATAAGGATAATATTTACCACACGGAATAGCTCGAGTTGATTTTATATATATATATTTTTTCACAATACATTGCATAGATTTTGAGATATTTATATTAAATTTAAATGATATAAAACGTTATTAATGATTCATAAACTTAGATTTTAAAATGTTTGAATATAATTACATGTTAGAAAATTAATTTAAAAAATTCGGTAATTTTGATTTTAAATAATTTCGATATACATTTATAT